AAATAAAAAAAAAAAAATTAATGTCATTATATTTTTTTAGTAAAATAAATTGGGAATTAAAAAGAATTTCTTACATGTTGTTTTTGGGTGAATAAGGATGTGGTGAGGAAGAGGATGATAAAGGTTGCAATAAACTCAACCCAAAAGGCTGAAGTGCACCCTTGGAGTGGCCTTGTCATCATAACCTCAGCCTTAATACCATACACAAACTCTGCTGCATAAGTTGCCAATACAGAGCCCCCAACTTGTGCTGCCACATACAATGGAACCTTCAAAAGCCAAAAGTAAGTGAAGAATGAGCTATAAAAAAAGAAACTATCAATTTTGTTTCGAGGCAGCCTAATTGTTAGACTGATCGACCCGTCATACTTTTTATTCAAATACGTACCTTGGACCATGGAAATGGGCCGACGGTGGCGAAAGCAACGGTGACAGCAGGATTAATATGAGTACCGGAAATTGAGCCCATTGAGAAAACAATGACTATCACTGTTAAACCAGCTGTGGCTGCATATTCCATTATCCCTCTCTCAATTCTCATAAATTGCATGTTCCCAATGATCCCACCAATGCAGAACACTAACATGAATGTCCCTAATGCCTCTGCCATCACCTGTTTCAATGCGTACGAAATCAATCGTTCGTTCGTCCGTTCGTTCGTGAATGATTTTCACATTATGCTCTTCTTTAATAACAAGTGATCAATAGCAACGCTTAGTCGAATTCTCGCATTTTTGGTTGAATTATTAAAATAAGGGTTCTTTCTTTTTATTTTCCCTTTTTTAAGAAAAAAAAAATGTTTTGCATTTACCATTCGGACAAGGATCCAATCCACCGGTTTTCTTGCAGCATTTTGTTCAGTCGATGCAGCAATGTATCCCGATTCTTGATCACTTCTAGGCTGGCTGCTTGTAGATGCTATTGCCGAAACATCAGGGGATGACGAATCTCGAAATGGAGAATTCATGCTTTGCCTTTGCCAAGTATTCTACAAAATCAACTTGGCACAAGGAGAAAATTAAAATGAGGTAAAGTTAGTGTACAATGGATTAGTAGATAATCGATGTTTCGAGAATACTGTACAACATTTACGAAATTTTTGAGGGCGGATTTTATTTGTGCTATTCAGAGAGCCTTGAAGTAGTAAATTGGAAGGCACAAAACTGTTCGAAGCTGGAAATGTGGCAGTTTAGTTTGGACACACAATACTTGTTGTGTGTTGCTGTTGTACAACTCGTGCAAATAAAGTTAATTCATGCTTTTTCGGTGTGTTGGTGGTACTCAGTTGATCAGATATATACTCCTCTATTTTCATTTTAGTGTTTCGTCGTCTCTAATTCTTCAAGTATTGACGATATTATTTAAGCGTGACTTAAAAGACGACGTCATTCTCAAACACGCGGCGTTCATAGTACGGTTCCATCGAAATATAAGATGATGTAATAATTGAAACAGAGAATCTTGGCTGATCAAGGCTGACAATTTCTATCTAACTGCTGCTTAATTTTATACAACACAAAGTAGTAGGTTTGGTTATGGTGATATCATGAGATCTGACGTTGCAGAGGAAGTTGTTCATCAAACACTCATTAATTTACTGAAAATCTGACTTAAGAAAACTTCAGCAAGCAAAAACATAGTGCAAATTGGTTATACTGCAATTGATCAATAGCAGCTTTATTTCCATTTACACAGAAAAACATCAGACCTTACTTCCCATACCGAAGTCGCCACATGTCATCCTCTGAGAATACAATGAAGAACTGAAACCAAAACTCATTTGTTCGAGATCGAACAACAACAAATTGTCCTCCATCTGGAACGACCCTATCACGATCGAATGTTCTGGATTTGCCTCACCATCCAAGAACGCAAAACACGCTACTTCTCCTCCAACTCTCCTCATTGAGTTCGCCCCATGTACCGTCCAATTCTTGCCGTTTGCAAATTCCAAGTCAATTTTCGGCACGTTCAATCCGAATCGGCCATAGCCAATCTCACTAGCATTGTAGCATGCACTAAATGGCTTCACTCTTTTCAATAAACGAGCTCCCTTTATCATCGACCTAGTGAAAAAGTTTAAAAGCTTTTCAAAGATATCGGTCCTCAACGTTGTGTAAGGTACAACCGTGCTAAGCTTGATTCCCTCATTAGGATTCATTGGAATCGAGTAGTTTCCATTTACCGATAACTCTTTGATCCCGATGAAGTAATCTGCTGTCTTGGGATTTCTAAGTAACGGAGTGTGAGATAAAAGGCTCAACACATCAATTTTTCTAGTTGAAAAATAATTATTGGGCTCGTCTCCGAAGGAAATCACCCCACTCGACGAACTTCCGCTCGGCAAACAAATTGCGAACTTTTGGCTAACTCCGAAGTTCGAAGAAGAGAATTGAGATGGGAAGGATGATGGTGCTAAAGAAAGGCTTGCAAGACCTACAACTCCTCTCGGAAAAGACCGAAAAAGGGATCGCCGAGCACATGATAAGTATATATTTTTGAATTCGATCTCGGACCTCGGTTTTTCACGGTTGACATAAGATATAGAAAGATTCGCCGAGGTCAACCGATCCAGAGCACACGATTTTGTCCTCGGGTTTATAGGAGTCACCATGCAAGTGCATGGGTTTGGTAATGGTGATGGATTGGTGAATGATATGGGGCAAGAGGGTGATAGAAGATATTGGGCTTGAATGCATTGGGCGGACACGCAGTCCACCGTGTGCTGGCGGGGCGAAGAGCAATGGCGCCACGAAAAGGGAGCGCTTAGGTCGATGACGTGGCGCTCGTTGGAGTTGAGTGTTATGGTGTAGAGGGAAGTTTGGGTGTCCTTGTTGAGAGGTGCTAATAGTGTTTGTTGGGATGAGGCTTCATGGGAGATTAGTAGTAAAAGGAGGGAAGTTAGTGTTAGGAAGTATATTGCATTATTTGTATTGTTTGTGAAAGTCATAGGGGTTTTCATGATGGTTGGTGTTTTTGAGTTGTTTTGGAATGTGGAGTTGAAGGTTTTTAGGAGCTGAAATTGATATATATGGAGCAATTCAAAGTGATTTGTTTTATTACATCTTGGTTTCGTCCAATTGCATCTCAGTTCATATCTCATATCTGTGTGCGTGGGTCTTCCATTATTTCAACAATCTTTTTGTTTGTGGATAACATATAAACATTAAAAATAAGAAGATGTTACTGTCCCGTTACGGAATCATTCCGTCAAGATTTGTAACTATTAGATCAATTATCTCTGACGGTTCTATGATGATCTAACGGTTACAAACTCTAACGAAACCTTATCATTTCCCGTTAAAACGATAAAATGGTAAGTAAGATATATGGAGGTATGCATTGTCCGGTTGACTTTTGAAGATGGAAGTTTAGTGCTTATTGGAGGACAAGTGTCAATGTTGACTATTACTAATTCTCAGATGACATCTATCATTATATTAAAAAAATAATTTTTTTATGATTTCCCGCCAAAATCATTATTTCTCTCCAAAATCATTAAATACCTGCCAAAATCATTATTTTCCCTCTAAAATCATTAAATAACAGCTAAAATCATTATTTTCCCTCTAAAATCATTAAATAAATAGTGATATAGTGTTAACAAAAAAACCGCGCGCTGGTTTTTGTGATGTTTTTTTTTCCTATTTTTTTAGGTTAACAAAATAATATATGCGATGGTTTTTGTGATGTTTCTCTTTTTCCTATTTTTAGGTTAACAAAATAATAGATATTGTGTTGATTTGTTTCGAAACATTATATCTGATTTAATGTGTAGATATTTGTTTTTTTTTCCTAATTTTTGACCGTATGTGTTTATTAAATTAGCCTTATAATATTTTAGTTATTTTAAACAAATTGTTTAGACATTTTTTTTTACATATTCGTCTATATATACACATATGCACATATACATAATTGATGTTAAATTTAAATATTTGTAGACATGCTTTTTTTACAAAATAGTCTAGAATTTTTTTTACATAATGTTAAATTCAAATGTTTTTAGATATGTTTTCTTTCTAAAATTGTTTAGAAAAGTTGTAGGTGACTTCATATCTTTTAAAAATAATATAGAAAATTTTGAATAATTTTACATATACTAATATAATATTTTAAGTGTTTTTAATATTAAACATACAAATTTTATATTCTATTATACAAAATAATATGAAGTTTATAATCTCTTATACAAAATAATTTTACATTGTCTGACCCCGACACTTTAATATACAAATTTTTTATACATGTTTTTTTTTTCAAAATAGTTTAGGAAAATTGTAAGTGTCTTCAAATATATAAATATATAAAAAGACAACCTATTTACAAAAAAATATTAACATAAAATTCAACCAACATTTAACGCATTCCAATTTCAACAGTTTTTTAATTTTCTTTTAATCTTAACCCAAGAAATCGGGCATCCATAAATGCACCCTAAATTGATGGGTTTTGTTGATGTATTTTTTGAAAATTTCAGATATCAAATCCATTCTCAATTAAATAGAAATCAAAATCCGTTCTCATTTTTTATTCAAAAAATCTAATTGAAAATAATTAGGTCTCATTTCGAATATAAAATTTTAAATTTTAAATACCTTATCATTGAGTTGCCATAAAATCGGTCCCGGTAGTTTTTTTAATTTTTTTAATTTATTAGCCCCTTAAATGCACCCTAAAATGATGGGTATTGTAGATCTAATTTTGGTAGATTTCGGTAGTGTTTACGGTTTTTTAAAAATCAAAATCCTTTTTCATTTTTTATTCGAAAAATCTGGCTGAACTAAAAATTGGTTGAATGAAAATTTTCAATTAGAAAAAATACAATCACATATTCTCATATAAATGAACTTCCTATTAAACTACTATTATTTATATATATATTTTTTTGGCAATATAAAATTCGAATTAACTATAGATTATCACGAAAAACGTTTTACGATATCCGTTATATTTTGCTATGCAATATTGTATAAAACAAGTATAAAACATATAAGATATATCCTGCTAAATAATTTAATCGATTTATTTTAACATGTCTAGAATCCTAATATATGTAAACTTCACGGCCAGCATTATGCATGTTTCACGCGCTACGAATCTTAAGTGTTTGAAAATTTTAATTTGTGGCGGTAGACGATTTAACAAAAGGGAAAACAAATAATGTTGTATACAATAATGCATTTTTTTAATATATAAGTTATATTTTGTTTATACTAATATATGAGTTTTACGTTTTTTCATTCATCCAATCTAAATGCTTACCATAATAAAATTAGCCCGTGCATCGCACGGGTACCACACTAGTTGTTTAAATTCACTTGCATATATTATAGTTTAAGCTATCACCTTAGTTAAAAATATAAATTAAATAAATAAATAAATAAATAAATAAATAAAGCTATCACCTTAGTTTAAGCTATCACCTTAGTTGAAGAGGGGTTAGCGCAGTGGCGCTTATCTTCACTCGGCGTGTACCATGTCCCGAGTTCGAGTCACCCGAGAAAAAAAAGAGAACCAGTATTAATTCCCTTTTAAAAAAAGAAAAAAGAAAAAAAAAATCTATCACTTTAGTCCCTTCGAGACCTGATGTTAAAAATAAAAAAAATAAAAAAGAAATAAAAAAATAAAAAAAATTAGCACCCTTAGTCGTAAAAATATTTAAATTTAAAACTCGTGCACTTCCCAATTGAGCTACAAAATTATCAAGTTCGAAATTCAATCCAAAATTTCTACAAATATTTTAATATTATATAGTTCTTATTGAAAATAATTCGATTGTTGGAATTATTCTTAGAATTTGATGATTTCACAACACTTTCTACAATTTATTATTGTGCGTATTTATGTTAGGATATTGAATATTGATTAGAATTATTTTTCCGTACCTGAGAAAAAGTGAGAAAAATATCTGATGTATTAATCACAAAGGTACATATGTATATAAAGACAAAAGATGGGCTTATATGTTGGCCTTAATCTAACCTAACCTTACAATACATAATACAACTAACATACCTCCTCAAACTCAAGGTGGTATAGTGGTGATCAGCTTGAGTTTGCTAAGAAATAAACAAAAGCGACCGGGAAGGAGAGACTTCGTGAAGACATCTGCAGGTTGATCCGTTGAGGAGACGGAAACAAGCTTCACAGTCTCATGTGCAACATGCTGTCAAATGAAGTGACAATCGATCTCAATATGTTTGGTGCGCAATGTAAACCTCTTCAGATAAGGAACCGTGCAAGAAGGCATTCTTGACATCTAACTGTAGAAGAGACCATCGACGAACAGCAAAAACAACAAGTACACACCGAATAGGAGTAAGACAAGCAACTGGTGCAAAAGTCTCTTAATAATCGATGTCGTACTCCTATAAGTATCGCTTAGCAACCAGACGAGCTTTGTAGCGCTCAATAGATCCATCTGAATTTGATTTGATCTTATGGACCCATTTGCATCCGATATGTGTCTTTCCAGCAGGTAGATCCACCAAATCCCAAGTATGAGTCTTCTCCAATGCCTACAATTCCTCAGCCATAGTTTGTTGCCACATTGGATCAGCACTGGCCTCATGAAGAGATCTAGGCTCATGATATGATAGTATGACCGAATAACAATGATAGTCAAGTAAGTAAGAAGGGGGACGACTTACACGGGTTGATCGTGGATGGTCAATGGTGGGATCAAAAGAGGACTCAACAGGAAACGTCAGTTTAGGATACGTAGGTGGAGCCACTTCAGAAGACGGAGACATGACAGGCGTGTCAATGAGTTGTGAGTCAGGACAAGTATCTGGAAAGAGATCCAAAGTAATGGAGATGAAGAAAGGGGACGACAAATCGAAGGGAATGTGAAATTTAGACAAAGAAGAAAAAGTATTATGCTCCCAAAAAGTAACGTGATGCAAAATACGCAACCAATCAACAATTGTATCCCAACACTGAAACCCTCCCTATAACCCAAAAAACAACACAGACGAGCTCGAGGTTCTAAGATGGGATAGGAGAAGAACAAAGCAAACACAACTGTTTGTCCCATTTTGTTGCTTATTTTCCTTTTTTTGTCCCCCGCTTTAGGTCGTTCATTTTTGGTTTTAGTTCGTTTCATGTTTTATTATGTGTTTTCCTACATTTTGAGTCTTTAGATGTTTTTCGTTTGTTTTTCTGGTTTTCTTTTGTGTTTTGCCATTTTTTGTGTGTAGGTCCGGAGCTTCGGGTGAATTTTCTCTTTAGGAAAAGTTGGTTTCGAGAGCCTAATTGGATAGAGGATTCGTTAGCGACGCGTTGAAAAAAACGGAACTCAATTCCTAGTTCGGACGAGCGCAAACGAGGCGAAACCACAAAATGGCGCAGTGCAACCAAGAATCTCGTGACTCGCGGGCATAAAGTCGCGACTCGCGAGCGCAAAGTCGCGACTCGCGACTTTAACAGAGCCTCCAGCATCCCAGCGACCCGTCCAACTCGCGAGTCAACTCGCGAGTCGCGACCCTGTCGACCCCTGTTTTTATTTTTGCTCGTTTTTACTCGTTTTAGCTCCGTTTTTGTGCACTATATATCAAAACGAACCTCCAGTTCTAAAAAACAACCCCGAATATCGTTCCTTCAATTTTTCTCTCCAGAAACTCAATATTGTTAGGATAATTTTCTCCGCTTTTCTTTTTATTTTCTCTCATGCTTAGATTGTTGGACACAAAGATATTTGGATTGAAGTCTTGCAAGTCTTAATCCGGTTGTAAGTTTTTCAATTCTATTTTATTATTGTTGATTGGTTTAATGTTCTTAATTCCAGTTAACATGAAATTAAATCTAAGCATGAGGTAATCCATTCACCTAGGGTTAGAGATTTTGATTCTTGTTTTGAATTATGGGGAATGTGTTTTGTTCAATCTATGCGAGTTGTGTGAATTATAGAGTAAGTTGATTGATCACCATTCTAACCTAGTTAATCGA